TTACAATCTTTTAATTCTTAATTTGCAATCTTTTAAGTTTAGGCTTTAGGGTTAGTTGTTGGCATTAATCTTTGCTTATCAAGTGAAAGTTGGTGAAGTTTAGAACCCTGCCATACATCACCTTTAATCTTTACTCTCTTCATGCCTATTCAAACCTTGTAACCCTAAAACTCTGATTCTTCAATTGTTTAGTTATAGGATCTCAGCCTTTCACCTTTAGTACTTGTGAACTACCAACATTACAATCTATAATTCTTGAGGAGATGATACTTAGAATACTCCATTTTATTACTTGATCTATGTGTTTCAAGCTTTACACAAAAAACAATAATCATGGTTCTTGATAAGAACATGCATTAATTGATTTTGATTTTTAATCTTGTAAAAATAAATTTCTTGGTCTATCTCATTTGTCTTTGGAAACTCATTTTCCAAAAAACTAGCATCCTAATATTCAAATTTTGTTACACTCCTACTTGATTGTTTACCTATGAATATGTATCGCTTTGAATGCTTAAAGTAGCCTACAAATATACTCTTTTTGCCTCAAGGACTTAGCTTGCAATGTGGATGAGCAATCTTATGTACATAAGCAACACAACCCTAAGGTATCAAATTACTAAAATCAAGTTTTCTCCCAATCCATAATCCATAAGGGTGGACGTAACTAACTTGAAAGGTACTCTATTGAGTATCTAGATAGTAGTTAATAATGCATTACCTAAAAAGGTGATTGATAAATTTGCTTGGGCCATCATAAACTTCATCATTTCCAGAATAGCTCTATTTCTTTCTTCCACAACACTGTCTTGTTTAAGAGTCCTTGGAATGGTCAACTGTTTATCAATACCCTTTTCATACATAATTGTCAGAACTGATTAGACAAATATTCATGTCCTTAATCCGTTTTTAACATTTTGACTTTTTTTTCTAATTGATTATCTACTAAAGTCACATACTTTTTAAAGCACTCTAATATTTCAGATTTGTGAGAATTAAATAGATGAACCCAAACATGTAAAATCATCAATGAATATAATGAAATAGTAACCTTCTTTCTATGAGCATACATTTATCAGGCCACAAATGTCGAAATATATTAACTGAATTGGAACTTTAGCTCTAGTTCCTTTACAAAATGGTTTCCTTATCATTTTCCCTACTAGGCAACTTTCACATAATGATAAATTAACTTTCTCAATAAGACCTAGTAATCCTTCTTTTGCTAATTTATCCATTCTTTGTTGATCTATATGGCCTAGTCTAGCATACCAAATTTCACATCAATATTCAAATCAAAATCAATCATAAGGGAAAAGCTTAGATTATTGTATGGAATACTATTTAACATAATAATTTGATAAATATCCAAATCCTTAATAAGTTGTATGCAAATATAAACTCAAACAAGTACTATTGAAATACAAAACAATTCCTAGACTAAGAAAAACAAGGACAAAAGTCAAATTTCGTTGAATATCAAAGCAAAAAATACATCATGTAGGATAAAGGTTTTCAACCATGCATGCATAGCTTGTAGGTGTAATTCCCCTTACTTCAATCCGTGAATTGTTTCCTACTATATGTGATTTAGTCTACAATGACACGAACACATTCTTGTCTCGTGTTACATTATGTGTGGCCCTTGAATCTACAATCCATAAAAGATGCGATTCAGTCATCATAACAGTACTAGAAAACAAACACAATACTTTCAAAATTATGTAAAAATGTGCACGCAACAACACCAAACCAATTCTTGGATCAAGTCATTAACCTTAATGATATGCCTCCCAATGTCATCATTTAGATCCATTTAGTATTATGTCAATTCCACTATCATCTTATGAATCTAAAAAATTGTGACTTTGTCCTCATAATAATGAGAGTCCTCGTGAAAATAGTCATGATCTTTTGTAACAAAATATGAAAAAAAAATTATGAATTCATAAGTCAATAAGAGTCTAAAACTAATTAAAACTCATCTCAATCATTCTGGTGCAACCTGATATCTTAAAGTCAATTAAGGACAACGATTTTAAAAAAATAAAACAAATTAAAAATATTTTTGAAAAAAAAAAGGCATTCAATTGCTCTTGATATGACATTTGAATGTTTGCTTTCTGTTTTAAAATATATAGGGTATTATGAGCATTCGAATGCTCCTTTTCTATTTCAAAAAATAACCATTAATTTTTAAAATTTTGTTTAGAGTATTTGGATGCCCTGAGTCGAGCATTCAAATTCTCTATCTAGAAATCGAAAGATAAAAAAAGATCCAAATTGTAAAACATCAATGGCATTTTATTAAAAATGTCCAAGAATCATCCTAACATTAATTATACAATAAAATTATGCAATTATGCAACATCTCCTATGGATTTTCACAAGCACACAAGAACATATCAAAACATTTCAATGTTTTCGAAGAACATGCAAAACAAACTAGAATTCAAGACAACTTGAATCTTATACCAATGAATGATAAACTCATGCAAGATATATATGAACATAGATACTTACTTGTTTATTGGAATCGAAAATGAAAGTGAAAGCTTTAATTGAATTATCGGTCATTAAACCGGATCACAGTATGAAAGTTGTTTGTTTTCACAAGGTACGTTCTTCAATCACCAAATGCAATAATTCCTCTTGAGAGTTGTTTGACTACTGATCTCTATCTTTTTCTCTATATGACTTTCTATTGTTTATGATAAACTTTTTCTTTTTTTTTTTCTTAATGGTTGAATGCCATTCTTTGATTAATGGAGAGATAGGCGACAGTTATAATGTAAACTACCCAAGGTCATTTTCATGCTCAAAAGTAAACTGCCCAAGGCAATTGCTAGTATTTAGATGTTCATGTCACCAATTAAGGGTGGACCCAACCCCTATTTGTTACATGTTACAAACCAGACAGGTGTAAGAGCCACGAGCAAACAAGGTAGCTTCATAAAAGAAGCAAATTTCTAATCGTTTGATACACGTTTGGAGTAATTGAATTGAAATGAAAAGATTATGAACCTACTTAATATGTTATTCCAAAATATTGACTTCCAAAATACCCTTTCTAACCAAGTAAATACCTTAGATAAGATAAAGAGAGTCACTGATAGATTAAAAATTAAAAATTTTAAAAAAATTCTTTATTTATCAGCATTTATTTCCTTTTCAACATATAATTTCAATTTCTTTTACTTTTTCAACATTTTATTATTTAAAAAAATTATTAAATATACTGACAGTAAAGTTTTTAGATTCCACAAATAAAGTTAAAAAGTGACACATACCTGAAAGTGTGTTTAGAAAAATTAAAAGTAGAAATAAGACATGTGTCAATCTCTTAACTTCACTTGTGAGATTAAAAATATACACTAACAGTGTATTAAATACTAACTCATTTATTCCTTGTTTTAAATTAAACCTTTCATCCAAACCAGCATTAGATATCATTCCTGGTATAGGTATCAAAATCATTCATGAAAGTTAAATTAACGAGGTAATTTTCCAAATTCCATGCCAAGAAATACTAATTTCTATTTTTTGAGTATATTGAAGGTAAAATTTTTTAATTTCACATATAAGATTAAAAGATAATCATAATAGGGTAACATTAAAAAAAGTATAAGAGTTTGTTTTATATACTTTATTAGTAGTGTTTTAAAACTTTAGAATTGAAATTGCAATATTAGAATACTGTCACATGCTTTATTATTTTTTAATAAAATTTTTAAATTTTTTAAATATATAACTTTAAGAGATACATGACAATCTATTGATAAAAATTTCAGACTCCACTTAAAAGACCTGATATTTGGAACAGAAAAGGAGGGGCAAGGATTGCAATTAGAGATTCGGAGGGGATGGTAAGGCTTTTGGATGTCAATGATCCTTTCCAAGTGGTAGCATTTGTAGCAGTCCGAGCATTCAGGGGTGTTAATAATTTGGATCGAATCATATTTAATTTAATTTAATTTTTTTTAATAATGCATAAAATTATAAATTTTTAAAATTTGATCTAAATTCAAATATAATTTTTGTACGATCTGAATCGAATCTTATTGATTTGATTTAGTTAATTAATTTTTAAAATTTTTTTTTATTTTATATATTATTTTAATATAATTTTTAATACACTTAAATAAATTTAAATATAAAGTAATTATTTTTATTTTATAAAAATATATTAAAATTAATAAAAGTATATAATTCGATTGTATTTGTTTTAATTTTTTTTATTTTTACTTCTCTCGATTAGGAATAGTGAGGAAGCGTCAGGGGAATCAGACTTCGCACCCGTTGGAATTATTATAAAAGAAGCCAGACAAAGGTTGTCAATGTTCCAGGGCTGGGCCATATTGCATGTCTTGAAACAAGGAAATATGACTTCCAATGCATTAGCAAGACACGGGCTGCAAATTATAGACAATGAGCATTGGGTTGAGGACTGTGATATAATTGCTCAATTCATACAAACTAACTGCAATTTGGATTATGAACGAAATTTCGTTACATTTAAAAAAAAAGGATTTAATAATTTTTCAAAATATATATGACGTTCCAAAAATCGAGAATAGAACAAGGGAATTCTCTTAACGGACGGAAGTGATTGTCCGATAAGAGTAGGTCCCACGTTTTGATGCAGAGTAGGACATAGAGAATAGAGATGAAGAGGATCCTAGGTGTCCATTGTCCAAAGCATCAACGGTTGGATATCTATTTGAGTTGGGGATGTTTGTAGGGCCCAAGCATCAACGGTAATCATCACGTTTGTAATTTCCTTTCTCAAATGAAAATGCCGCCACCTACGCCGATAATTTCTATCTAAGGCAATGGCATGGCATACGACTATGTTCCTAATGAACACTGAAAAGCCTTGACAGACTGTAAAATGGACGGTAGTGGGTCCCCAGTCAGTCCCCCACACCTCCCCCCCCCCCCCCCCACCAAAAAGAAATTCAGAATAAATCCAAGCTGGCTTATATTGAGCTTGACAGCTTGTTTTTCTCCTCAATCCAACCCCACTCCTGCCCTTAACCGCCCTCAACCTCTTCTCTATGCCATCTCTTTAAAAACTGCCATCTCTCGTCTCTCACACAACACATATTCTTTCTCATTTCCATTTCAGTATCTTATCTTTTCCTTTTTACTTGTTTTACATTCTAGTTGACATCAAGAATCAAATTTAGCTATGGCTGACGAAGTTCAGAAGACAGCCCAGGATGGAGTGCTGCAAGTAGACGAGGTGGTTCTTATTCCTGATGTGCCACAAGCTGAGAAACCTCCAGCGGCTGCAGTAGTATCGAAAGAGCCACCTCCGATAGCCGAAACCGATGAAGAACCGGTAAAACCAAAGCAGGTTGGGGAGGCTTTAGAGACAGAGGTATCAAAACCCAATGGTGATGATCAGGAAAAAGTTCCTCAGTTGGGTTCTTTCAATGAAGATAGCACCACGGTTGCCGTTCTTCTTGAGAATGAAAATAAAGCGCTTGAAGAACTTAAGCAACTTGTGCAAGAAGCGCTTAATAGGCATGAGTTTGGTGGGGTAGCATTGCCACAACAACCAGAAGCAGCTAAAGAGGACAAGAAAACAGAAGTCGTGGTGACAGAGGACGAGAATGAACCTGCTGCCAAAGAAGAGACAAAGGATGAATTGGCTACTGATGAACCACGAAAACCAGAAACAGAAACAAAAACTGTTGTCGAAACAAAGGATGAACCAGAAAAGGAAGAAAACATTGATCTGGTTGAAACGGAGGTTATTACAGGGAAGGTTGCTGCTACTGCTGGCTCTGACACAGTGGAAGACGATGGAGCCAAGACCGTAGAAGCCATTGAAGAGACTGTTGTTTCAGTCTCTTCTTCAGTTCAACCTGAGCAACCACCAGCAGGTAAAGAACCTGCAGAGGCAAAGGCTGATGTGGTTCCGGGAGGCGAACGAAAAGATGCTAAAACAGAGGACAAAGTGCCCCCAGAGGAGATATCCATATGGGGCACTCCACTTCTTGCAGATGAAAGAAGCAATGTTATTCTCCTCAAATTTCTAAGAGCCAGAGATTTCAAGGTGAAAGATGCATTTACCATGCTCAAAAACACGATCCGTTGGAGAAAAGAGTTCGGCATTGATGAATTGATTGAACAAGATTTAGGTAATGATTTGGAGAAGGTGGTCTTTAGTCTTGGTTTCGATAAGGAAGGACATCCCGTGTGCTATAATGTGTATGGGGAGTTCCAAAACAAGGAGCTTTACCAGAAAACATTTTCGGACGATGAGAAGAGGCAAAATTTCTTGAGGTGGAGAATCCAATTTCTGGAAAAGAGCATTAGGAAACTGGATTTCAGACCCGGTGGCATTTGCACCATTGTCCAGGTTAATGACTTGAAGAATTCCCCAGGACCTGCTAAATGGGAACTTAGACAAGCTACCAAACAGGCTCTTCATTTGCTCCAGGACAACTATCCAGAATTTGTTGCCAAACAGGTATTACTGTTATTTGTCTTTTACTTCATGTGATACTATATATCATCAGTTTAATATTTCTTGGATCTTACCTTTGTTTCAAATTGCGGTTCTGGCTGTTTGTTTAGGTGTTCATCAATGTACCTTGGTGGTACCTTGCAGTCAATAGGATGATAAGTCCATTTCTGACCCAAAGAACTAGAAGCAAATTTGTCTTTGCTGGCCCGTCAAAATCTGCACAGACACTTTTCAGGTTGGCGTCTCTAAATCAAGTATAATTTGCTTCTTTTCTCTCTCTGCCTTTGTTTCTATGAAAATTATTTTGTTCTGTACAATTAGGTACATCGCTGCTGAGCAAGTGCCGGTCAAATATGGAGGACTGAGCAAAGACGGTGAATTCGTCAACACCGATGCAGTTACTGAGACAATTGTTAAGCCAGCGGCGAAGCACACTGTAGAGTTTCCAGTTACTGGGGTAGGTGGCATTTCTTTTGTCTCTCTGGTCAAAAGTAGTTTTCACTTTTTCAAGAATCCAAAGCAGCGCTTGGGGATTTGGATTGTACTAATTTTTATTACGGCATCCGTTTTTGGATCCTCTGGACACTATTCTATTGTTTTCTATTTGCTTAAAGCTTAAATCGTCGATTAAATCCTTTGTACAGGCATGCCTTCTGGCATGGGAAATCAGAGTAGTTGGATGGGATGTGAGCTATGGTGCAGAATTCGTACCCAGTGCTGAAGACAGCTACACAGTTATAATCCAGAAGGCCAGGAAGGTTGCCCCTACCGAAGAAGCGGTGGTGTACGACAATTTCAAGATTGGTGAGCCTGGCAAGGTTGTTCTCACCATAGACAATCCCACTTCAAAAAAGAAGAAGCTCCTCTATCGCATGAAGACCAAGCCGACATCTCATTAAAACTTTAGATCCAAATCAAAAACACAAAGCATTCGTACTTAAGATCATTACATCAACAGCGGGAAGGATGAATTGGAATTCTATTTTGCTCTGCCTCTAGAAAAAGCCAAGTTTTTAACATTAACTTTGATTTTTGAGCCTGTTATATATATATATATATAATTATTATTTATATATAGTTTTTGGGTTGGTCTATACTCTATTCTCTATATTGCGTCCAAGATGTATTGTTTTTCCTAGTGAATTTCAAGCTATTGTTGGTTTCTTACGTTCCCACGATTGCATCCCTTTACTTTTTGGCTCATTAATTTTCAACTTACATCTTGGGGTTTAGCATTTTTTTAAGGATGGATGTAATTTTTACAAGTAATGATGCCATTCTTTATGATACATGAAAAAATTACCATGAACGCGGTATTAGTATAATCATATGTTTAAGAAATTAAAATGTAATTGATCATGATATTATAATTTAACATTGAATTTTATCATTGTATTTCAATTTTATTATTTTTTTAAATAATTAAATTATAATATTTCACCGAATAAGCAAATGACAATTTTCACTGGGTTTTGCTTAAAAGCAACGAAATTAAAATATTTGGAAAAAATATTTTATTAATGCAAATGATAATTTTTTATTAATTTTATTATTTTTATGTAAAAAAATCCATCAACAAAATTAAAATTACAATCACAAAGTTCAACGAAGCTATAATTTGACAAAAATTCAATTTTAATTCATAATGCAATGATAAATTCGACCTTAACTTCTATTTTTTTAAAAAATAAATAAATGTTATTTGATAAAATAAAACTTTTACCAATGGGCCATGAATATGTTTTCGAAAAAGAATCTTCTCCCAAAAGTTGTAAAAATCTCAACTTACTCTATTTATAATACAATTAAAAATTTTTTCTATTAAATTTACCAAAGTAAGAATTTCTCTTTCTAAAACACGCGCCAGTTTTGAATGCAATTAATTTACTTCAAAAGGAAAAACACTTTATATTGCATCCAAATTAAAGATAGAAACCTTTGTTGGGTAAAACAATTATAAAAAAAAAAAAAAAACTATTGGAAATATAATAGAGAAATATAGGAATCATACATAGATCTAAAATCTTTCCCACATGTTAGGTTAAGATAAAATTAAAAGATTTTCACTATCTTTGAGTAGTGAAAAAGGATCCTTTCTTTATATTGTCATCTTTCTAAAATGATAATGCATATAAAAGATAATGTCATATGAAGTCCCTTGTTAATGTCCATAATTGTGATAATCATCATACAGATTTTAGATAAAGATAAAAGTATATCTTTTTTTATAATTATTATAATATAATTAATCAATCACAATCATCAAAAATTCATAAATATATTATATGAAATCAAATGATGAATCAAACATAATTTTTTATTATAATAAAAAAATTGAATGTGAAATGGCCTTGACAATAAGGAGAGGAGCTGGATTTCAAACAAATATAGGATTCCTTTTAAATTCTGAAAAGTGTACAACATCCAAAGTTTTTTTTATGAGGGTCTTTGTGAAATTATATAGGGGAATGACATTAAAAATTATTGGAGTTTATTAATATGAGAAAGAAAAAATTACCGAGAAGGAAATGCTAATTTTCAAAATTGATAGAAGTACGAAATCATATTTCGGGTTTTGTCCCCAATCAAATTAGTTCATGTCGTTTGCCTTCAAGTTTCATCTTCCAATATAGCTAATCCAAAGTGTCATGGACTAAGCTTTCATTCCATAAAGCAATAGTCCATACAACATTTAGATGGACGCTTTCATACAAGTTAACCATAATAGTTTAAAATTTGAACATGCAACAAATAAGTCATAAATTAATCTTAAGGATAAGTAATAAAATATCGAGATATAATGGGTATGCACCAGCTTGAACCCTAATTCTTCAAAAAAATTTTTATTAATATCAACAAGGTTACAACAATTAAAAATATATATATCAAATTTTTTGCCATCAGTAAGGCTAGAGAAGTAGTCCTAGATAAGTAATATAGTATGTATTTTAACAAGTGAGGTAATTCAACAATCTGCTGACAACTCATCCCTTTTAAAAAGCTAAAGAACTTTTACACCTATACTACCAAGAACAATTATAGTGTTTGAAATTGAGACATTTAAAATCTACCCCCTTGGCACCTCTACCCGATCATGGCCCCAAACAACAATGCTTCATGACATCTTATGCTCGATCATGACCTTTTACAAGGTCAGCTCATGACATCCTTTCCTACATAAGAGTATTCCTCTCTTCTTACCCATTTCTTGAACTATAGCACTAAAATAATTTTCTTCCCACTTTTGGAGAAAATCATGATTGGCACAACACATGGACATTCCACCAAGAACAATAAGTAACTAGTAGTAAGGACTAGGATCACTTGACCCAACATTATAAAGTCCAATCCTAAGGCAACATCAAAATCTTCTATAAGGGAAACTATGAAGTCTATGTCTCATACTTATAGGTTGAGCTTAATCATCACACTCTTTAAAGCTTCCACTTATCGCAAAGGTTGGAGAGTTCATTGCTTCCATCTGCCCATAATCCTTGTTAACATTAAGATTACACCTCTTAGCTTCTTTGAGTGTGTGATGAAGGTATTGGCCACACCTATGTCTACCATGGCTTTTATTGTTTTGCCATTGAACACCAAGTCCACAAATGTTAGGCCATTCATTGGTTTTTTCTTTTCCATGCTTAGTTGGGTACGAAAAACATTGAAGAAACGTATTAAACCCATCTTTATTGGCTCATCTTTAATTTTCTCAACAATTTGGGGTGTTTTGGGTTGACTTTTGAAAAAAAGCTTTTAGTACATTAAAGACACTTCTGTTAGGGCATTTGGCTACCCGATGCGGCCTTTGATATAGAAAGTTAACTAACATGTGCTTTTAGCTTAAAATTTGATGCATTGTTTACTTGGGTTGGGAAGTGTCTCGACCAAAAGGCCTCTTATCTGTTCCCTCACTTAATTGTTTATCCTTCTAGCCATCTTTCCCCCATTCTTGAAATCGAAGTTATTATCATCTGAAAGAGGATTCTTTCATTTTGATGGGCCATCATTATAGTTAGTAAGATGCTTAGTGGGCAACCATGGTAGTGGTTACATCTTACATTTTTTTTTCTTTGAAGTTTTATCTTAGCCTCTGGTTAAGGCCCCTAGGGAAATAAAACATCTTATCTTTTTCAGACATGTCCGTAGAGAAGCTCTTTAAAACCCCATGCACCATTTCTATTAGCCACAGTTCTTGAAGTTTCCTTTGGGTTATATACTCGACATTTTCAAGAAGAATTTATTTTCAGCTCTTACTTAAGATCCAACCAATATTTGTTAGGTCATTGATAATCAACAAACTTTGAACGTCATTATAGCATGGCATCCTTAGTAAGATACATTGGGGCCATTGCTACCTTGTCTTCCTCTAATTTTGTGTACACGACTCAAAACTATTCTTTCATATTAAATAAGAAATTTTCATGCTTTTTAGCATCTTTTACCCTTTTATAATATTGAGGTTTTGACATTTCGACCATTTTTTCATTATCTATTGAACTAAAGGTGGACCTCGCCACTACCAATTATAGTACGTTAATTTTGGCCTTTAGCTCTTCAAACTCTCTTCAGAGGATGCTTATAGCATTTTTTATCTCTTTCATCATAGAATTTAGAGTATCAGACAGTTTTGATTGGGCTACCTTAATCTTTCTCAATCGATCATGAGTTACCACGTGAGTTTTTAAGGCAGCCACTGTAGCTTTAAGCTTGTCAATTCTTTGTCAGTCATTTGATCCGCTAGTTATTGTAACCATCATTATTTTCACACTAACACTTTTTAACCATGCTCTGATACCATGTATTATAGACTAAACTTTTTCTCAATGATGCAATAGCACGTATGGCACTTAGAATGACACTTCTAAACAAGTCAACCAAGATAACTCAAAATTTGAACAAGCAATAAGTAAGCCATAAGTTTATCTCAAGGATAGGCAGTGAAATATCAATGTATAATGGCTGCACACTAGCTTGACCTCTGGTGTCCCAAAAAAAAAGTTTTATAAATATCAACTAGGTTACAATGATTATAAAAGAAGTATCGAGTTTTCCACTTTCATCGGGGCCAAAGGGACAACCTTGAATGGGTGGTCTAGTATATATCTTAACCAATAAGGTAGCCCTACAATTCACAATTGCTCACCTCCTTTAAAGAGTAAGAGTTTTTACAACATGTTACTAAAAATTATTACAACATTTGAAATGAAGACACTTTTTCTTAACATATGAAATTTAACCTCTTAACACCTTTAATTGATCATGACCTTATATAAGGGTGGCTCATAAAACCCTATATCCAATCATGGTCCTATACAAAGATTGACTCATGACACAAAACATGTGACAATAATTTTTATCATCTCGAGAAAGTATTAATACGTCAAATTAGCTTGTATCGATTTTTACCCGTCTAAAGTCAAATCATCTCATTTTAATATTATTTTACATAAAATTCATTGATATTTCTTAATAATTTTCTCTCACCTCAAAATCCAAAAGTTATTATTGAAGTACCTACTTAGTCTTTTTTACTATAAAAGAATAAGTGCTTTAGTCCTTTTATCGTAATTTCGACTAATTTAGTCCTTTTACTTTTAAATTTGATAGCAAATAAAAACAATTGTTAACATTGTTTATCGAATCTATTAATTATTTTAATTATTTGAGGTGACACAGTTATGATCTTGCATGTAATATTTTGTTAACAAAACGGTGATGTGGAATCAGAGTAAAATTTTTAATGATGGTGTGGAATTTTAAAAATAAAACTTTTGAAAATATGGGTGACAAATGGCAAAAAAATCAATTTGTTAAAATATAAAGAATTGGCCATCAAAATTTTAAAATTTTTAACATTAAAAATTAAAAATTAAAAATATCTTAATTCTAAACTTTTGTTTTTTCTTCTTCATCTTTTCATTTTTTTTATTGTTTTTTTACATATCACCCATATTTTCAAAAATTTTATTTTTAAAATTCCATGTTAACATTTAAAAAATTGCTTTGATTCCACGTCATCATTTTGTCAACAAAATGTTATATGTAAGCATCATATATGTGCAACATAAACATAATTACTAGATTTCAT